TTCTCTTGCTTCTAGAGCTGGCTATTATCTGATAAGCTTAGACCAACCCTGGACAAGTATACATCTGGAAAAGAAAAACATTGGGATCAATTTCATATAAATAGATTTAAGCAGTAAAAGACAGGCTTCAGAGTCAGACAGATGTGGACTCAATCTTGACTTTGTCATTTTCTAGTTGAGTAGCCCTGGGCAATTTCTTAACAGTTTCCATAACTCTAATTTGAAAATAAAATTTATGACTGTTTTAAGGATTACATGAGAATAATGTATATTAGGCAGATAACAATGTCTGGTATAAACATTTGCTTCTGCATCATAACTGATAGGCATATCCCAACCCCCTCCTTGATGACCTGAAATAGTGACATTCCCTTCCAGTAAAGGCTGAAAATCAGACCTGGGCCTTTCCCAACACTGTCTCAATGGGATTAATTTGGGAAACTGCACATCATATTCTCCTTGTGACAATTCTTAATGCACATTAGGATATTAAAGCTCAGAAAATTCTTACAGTAAAAAAGTCTATTTGATTTTGTTTAACTTGGTGTTTTCTAAATTTATCTGACCCTTTGTTTTTCACAGTAACTACTCCACTCGGCATCTTGAAAAATGCTACTCCAGCAAACAAGCTTATGAAAATTGCTAATGGGGGGACGGGAATGTGGGAAAAGATATCAAAATACTCCACAATACCTCATTCTTTTTCAGGTTACAAAATATTTCCAAAAAACCCTTAAGAATATGTTTTCTGCCACAGATGTGTTTTGAAGATCCATAAAATGACAATTCTCAGCCTTACTGGTCTCAGAAATCCTTCACACTCTTAATTATTGAGGATAGAGAAATGGGCATTACAAAGACGCACAGGAAACTTGTGGGTGATGGATATGTTCATTTTCTTCATTGAGGAGATAGATGGTATGATGGTTAAAGTTTATGTGTTACCTTGGCTAGGCTATGGTACCCAGTTTTTTGGTGAAACACTAGTCTAGATGTTACTGTGAAGTTATTTTGCAGATATGATTAACATCTACAATTGGCTGACTTTAAGAACATTACCCTTGATAACATAGGTGGGGTGGAGAGGGGCTCCATCAAATCAGTTGAAGACTTTAGGAGCAAAAACTGAGATTTCCTTGAGAAAAAGGAATTCTGCCTTAAGATGGTAACAGATAGGAAACAGAGTTTCCTAAGAAATTTTGCCAACTAGCCCTACAAATTTTTAAGTCCAGACTGCAATATCAACTCTTGCCTGAGTTTCTACTATGCTACCCTGCCCTACACATTTCGACTTGCCGGTAAACATATGTCAAATTTATTGAACTGTATACTTTACCTATGTACGGTTTATTGTATATCAATTATATCTCAAAAATTACTGAGAATCTCAAAGAGCTTTTGTTTATGTGGTTCTCTGTATCTACTGAATTAGAAAATGGCACAGGGGTGCCTGTGTGGCTCAGATGATTGGGTATCTGCCTTCAGCTCAGGTCATGATCTCTAGGTCCTGGGATGGAGCCCCGCCTCAGGCTCCCTGCTCAGCGGGGAGTCTGCTTCTCCCTCTCCCTCTGCCTCTCCCCCTGCTTGTGCTCTTTCTCCCTCTCAAATGAATAAAATCTT